GGGGGGGGGGGGGGGGGTTGGAGCAGGCGAGACCATTCATTGCCGGGGGCAGCGGGAGGGACCACTCCCTTCGCGGGGGGGGCGGGATTGTCTTCAACTTCACCCCGCCCAACGACTTATAACGGCCGTGACCTGAGGGGGGGGTGGGGGCACCCCTCCCCCACACCGTGGTGCGTGTGCCAACTGCCCCCCCATGGCGCGCACACACCCCTCCCTCATGGCCATGCGCACACACACACATACACACCTCAGGGCCACACGCACACACACATCTCATGGCCTCACACACATGCACTTCATGGTCACACACACACAGCTCATGGTTGTGCATATGCATGCGCACACACCTCATGGTCACACACACACACCTACCTCATGGCCACACCCTTGCCCATGGCCCCACACGCACATCATGGCTGTGCGCATGCATGCACACACATCTCATGGTCACACACACACACCCCTATCTCATGGCTGCCCCTCCCCCCAGCGTAGGGGCATCCTGCGCTAGGTGCGCGCCCCGTGCCTGGCGCAGGGGGGCTGGGAGCCAGCACAGCGCTGGGCTCCATTGGGTTCAGCCCCCTCCCAGACAGACGTGGCAGGATGTAGGAGGGCCGGGGAGGGTGTAGAGCAGGGTAGCCAGGGTGATGAGCTCAGGTGTTTATCTTGCCAGGATGATCTGACCCCAGCTGATTTTCTGCCCCCTCCGCAGGGGCTGGACCTGATGCTCTCACCAGGTCCCTTGCAGGCCTGGTGTTTGTGAGATCCCCATGAGGAGAGCCTAAAGAGGCCAGGCCTGTTCAGCAGAGAAGAGACACTGGGGGGGAGGACATGATAAGGGCTTACAAAATACCAGATGAAGAGGTGTTTGTCTAAGGACACAGCTCTTTGGGTAAGCGTATCTTTTATTAGACCCCCTAAAAGTTGTTCTTTGTAAACTTTCGGGTACAAACAGACACAGAGAGCCCCAATTTGCTCTCCCTTTCAGCACCCTTCTCTGCCAGGGTGTGACACAAGCCTGTTAGATGCACAGGAAGATCAAGATCCCATCTTCAAAAAGGGGAGGAAAGAGGACCTGGGGAACTACAGGCCAGTCAGCCTTACCTCAATCCTGGGCATGCTGTTCGAGAAAATTATTCTGGCATGCATCCAGGAGGGGCCAGCAGGGAACGGCATGCTCAGGGGCAACCAACACAGGTTCATCAGCGGCAGGTCCTGTCAGACCAACCTGGTGGCCTTTTACTACCAGGTCACTAAATCATTGGATGCAGGGGTGGCAGTGGATATAGTTTTCCTAGACTTCAGGAAGGCTTTTGATACTGTCTCTCACCCCATTCTCATTAGGAAGCTGGGGGACTGTGGCGTAGACACCCATACAGTCCCATGGGTCGCCAACTGGTTAGAGAGTCGCACCCAGAGGGTGGTAGTGGATGGGTCCTTCTTGACCTGGAAAGATGTGGGAAGTGGGGTCCCACAGGGCTCGGTCCTTGGGCC